GGGGATGGGCGAGGGAGATGGCGCTGGCGAGCGCCTTTTTTCCCCGTCAAACTGAGCTCTGTCGTCCTGGGGCTCAGCAACTCTCCCTCCCTTTGTCCTCCAGCCTTCCCACTTTCTGAGCAAAGTTGTTAACTTATGACCTCCCAGGTGCTAAGTCCCGCTTGCTGTCGGAACACACTCTGTCTGGCCCCTCAGCTTTTGCCAGCCAGACTTTGGGGGCTCTGCTTGGCCGGCGGGCCGCCCCTCCACCCCGGCTCCCTCCCGCCAGTCCGTGCAGGCGCACCGCCTCACCGCCCTTCCTACCCTCTTCCGTGGGCCTCTCGTCTGCGCTGGGCTCCAGATACTCCGTTCTGCTAGTCTTCTGGTGGTTTTCTGGGTTAGTTAGGCAGGTGTAGGTGGAATCTAAGTGATCAGCAGGACGTGCAGTGAGCCCAGCGTCCTCCTACGCCACCATCTTCCCCGAAAGTTGCACATAGCAAATTTTAGCTAAGTGCAAGTGTCTCCTTTTTGAAGCCTCTCTGATCAGCTCTCTGGCATCACGCCCCCATTCATAGTCCTGCTTTCTTTTCATGTCCTGTTTTTTACTTCAAATGCTTGTTCACTTACTTGTGTGCTGTCCCTCTACCCAACAAGCATTTACTGTATGAGCCCAGAGCCTGATGGCTATTTTCAACACCTAAAATAGGCATATTACCAGCTGCCAAATGTTTGCTGAATGAGTGGACTTCATTTTGGTTCTCTTCTGGACTGCATGTCTGAGTGTCTCTCGCAAACAATGTGCACGTATAAGAAAGAATAAGTGCTAACTGGGAATTGGATTTGCATTTACTCTTCTTCATCTGCTCATGAAACACCTTTGAGCTCAGCTCTCTGTAAAGATAATGTGGCGGGTTATTTAGTGGTTTCTCTTCCTTCCTGTGCTAGTGTATATAATCGGGATGGAGGGTAAGAGTGCAGAAACCCAGGAGCAAATTCATAAAGTGCACTTCCCTGGGCAGACGGCTCCTGGTCATGTACCTGTGCCTGTGCACATGGGGCAGGGGCTAGGACGCCATCACTCAGTCTATCCAAGGGAAGAGAAGAATGAGTATGCCACACCTTGTGGAGAAATAGAGCCCAAGAGATACTTGATATGAAGTCTCTGAAAACAACACAATCTGATGATTCCAGAGGCCAGCCCTGTTCCTGTGGAGTCTTGTAGAGAATGTCATTCCTAGCTCCCCATTTTCCAGATGAGGAAAGTGAAGCACAGATGAGGGGTGAAGTTCAGCAGCATGGACATAAACTGGGTTGTCCAAAGATGTGTAGAAGTTGAGGAGCATGGCTGGTGGCTCATAGTGTGACCTAAGCATGACTGCTATAAAGCCAGGTGGTGGTGGTGGTGGTTTTTAATAAGTGCTCTCAAACTCGTGGTTTCTATGTAGTCCCTATTTTTCACCAGACCACCAGCCACACAGACTCAACCTCACTTAGAACTGGCATTTCAAAAGAGATAAGGTAGCTATGACCTGGTCACAAAATAGGGCACAAACTGTGGCCAGTGGCAGCAGTGTTAGTAGGCCTTGAGGTGATAATTCTAATTATATTTAGAGTTACAGAGTAGTGAGTAAAGTATTAAAACACCAAGAGCCAAGATAAAATGTGTCTTTTTAAAAAATGTTTATTTATTTATTTTGAGAGAAAGAAAGAGTGAGTGGTACAAGCTTAAGCAGGGGAGGGGTAGAGGGAGAGGGAGAAAGAGAGAGAATCCCAGGCAGGCTCCATGCTGTCATCACAGAGCCTGACATGGGGCTTGACCCCACAAACCATGAGATCACGACCTGAGTCAAAACCAAGAGTTGGACGCTTAACTGACTGAGCCACCCGGGAGCCCCCAATGCTGTTGGATTAAGTCCTAGGCAGTAGATGAGGGCTGGAAGATTGCATGTGACAGTCATCTCAGAACACAGAGTCAGAACACAAAATAGGACCCAGGGAGGTATAGAGGCCACAAGAATGTGTCTCTCGGGTTTCCAGTGCTATACCCAAAAATTTACCCCCACTCCCCACTGTTAGAGGTTACCTGCTGCCTTTGCCCAGTGGTGGCCCTGCCAGGATCCTGAGATGAGCCTGTTCCCCAGAGATGTGGACCCGCTGACAATGCTGTGCTGTAGTCTGCATGTGCTTCCCCTGCCTGCCTTCCTGTCTCCCACTGCGGGTGGCCTACATGCCATCTCGTGGCTCTCCCAACACCCCTGTGGCCCCCCATTCCTCCTCACAGGCTTTGTCCCTAACAAACCTCTCACGTGGCTAATCCCACTGGGGCACCTGTGTCCCCAGGGACCCCGACAGACACAAGAGGCTGTGCTCTGCCCCTGGGGCTCTGTTGCTCAGAGCGGTTTTGGAGTCTTCTTCCTGTCAGGGAGCAGCTGTGAGCTTCACATCTGTAGTTTCTGGTTTGGGAGCCCAGGAACCACCTCCCTGCTGTCTCCCCCATGGGTTTGAGTGTATCATCAAATCTTTCAGGCTGCTGAACACCACGCCCGCAAGTCGCAGGGTCCACCCTACTGCAGCCTTCTCAGACTTCAGCATAGTGGGGAAACTGAGTGTTAGGGCAGCCTGGCTCCAGGGGAGGGCTGTGTGGATAGAAGCAAGTTACTGAGCAGCCTCCCGACCACTTTCTCATCCTGTGCTTTGAGTTTCTTCTGCCACCTCCCTGCAGGAATGCTGATGGTCTGCATAGTAATTGGTGCTCGGAAGCTTGGGGTCAATCCAGACAACATTGCCACGCCCATTGCTGCCAGCCTGGGAGACCTCATCACGTTGTCCATCCTGGCCTTTGTTAGCAGCTTCTTCTATAAACACAAAGGTAAGAGGTACCCCTTGAGGTGGGGCACACAAACAAGGCTGGGTCCAATGTCGGCAAACAGCAAGCTCTCCCATCCACTCAGGTCAGCAGATAAGTTCAGTCTCCACCTTAGGGCAGGGGTATGCAAGGAGACCAGGGAGGGCCAGAGGATGGCCTGGCCACTTCAGTGCGCCCTCATAGGTTAACAGACCCTCCATGGGTAAGGCATGTGTCACACCAGACACATACAAACCAGCTGGGAAGGGACTCCCAAGGAGGCATGTCATAGCCATGGGCAGCAGCATATGCTCTCCCTGCTGGTGTGAGGCAGGAAAAGCCCAGGTCTCCTCAGAAGGTGGCCCAGTGCCCTGGTCATCAGCCAAGGAAGGCGTTCACACCTCTTGTATGACAGACCCTTGTGGCCAGAGGCTCTGACTCCACCAGGGGTCTCCCTAGATCTGCCCTGGGGGCACACTGAACATGTTCTGCCCTGGGCATTGTGGACAGGTAGCATCTCCCTTCCCCAGATGGTTCTCACCTGCTGACTACTCCCCTCTGAGCATCACAGTTTTTGCTTTCCACCTAAGCTGGCTGCCCACAGTTGTTTGGATCTAGTAAGTGTTGATTCTGTGCATGGTCATAACCCCAAGTACCTGGGGGCAGGTGGCATCAGTGAGTGGAGTGAACAGTGAAGAAGATGGTGGACAGCAGTGGGGAATGTGGTGACACTTATTTGGAGGAAATACCTAGACACAGGCACAGACACAGCGAAGCTCTGGCTTATCGTTGCCCTGTGGGAACTCAGACTCCGGAGCAAGAGAAATCACCCAGTGCTTACATGCTGGCAGCTGAAGCAGACTGACAGAATACCTGTGATTTTGTGTGTCTGGGCATTGAGACCCTCTCCCTCTCAGCTCTGGGACCAGCTCCTTGTCACCCCAGGAACTGCCTGCCACCAATACTGTTTGATGGTTGGGAGATCCTCAAAGTTCCTGTAAGTGGCAATGAAGATCTAATGATAAGATGACCTAATTTTATCTTTAAACCATAGTGAATTTAAAACAAGACTTGTGTGTGGGTTGGTTAATCGAGTTTTACTTATAAAACAAATTTGGGTCACTGGTGTTTCCAGACCCTTCTTCTCTGCCCTACTGTGCATGTTGCAACACATGACTTAGTAGCTGTTGAATCATTGTTGGGTTGTCCGTCCCTCAAATTAGACTGAATTTATCTTGGGTGCACTTACAGGTTCACTGGGCCTGGCACCTATGAGATAAATCTTCACTGATGAAGAATGAGCTGTTGGCTGTGTCACCTGTCAGTGTAGTTGGGAAGACAAGCCATGTGTGGGGGAAGTATTCATCATGGTGGTGGGAAAATATGAAGTGGAGCCTCTGCCAGGGCTCCTGAATCATTCTAGAAAAATCAGACTGAAAAAATGTCCTAAAAGCAGCACTCCTGTAGGCTGCTGCTTCCTAGAGCTTTTGAGACTTGCTTAGAGCTTCCTGGGCCTGTCTCCCTCCTCCTGGGATGGCGAAAGGCTGGCCCCTTCCATGATGAGTTACTTTGTCTGTAGTCCAAGTTGAGCAACTGTGGCCTGTGCTTCCATGTAGCTGCCCAAGGAGACCGGCCTCCCTATGGCAGAGGAATGAACCATGATTGTTTAGTGCAGAGAAAGACAAGAGGGGAGGAGTCCTCCTAATGATGCTGCTCAGAGAAATGGGATGTGGGGCACAGACCTACCTGCATACCTCTGCGTGCTGGGGTCCACTTGGCAGAGGACTGTGCACCACCTGAGCCTGTCCTTTAGAGGTGGGGATGGGGGTAAGAGGATAGCTCTAGAGAAAGCTGGTGTCTTGTTTGGAGTGATTGGGAAGGTGACACACAAAATATAAGGGAAGAAGGGAGTGAGTGAGAATGATGGTATGTGGGGCCCTGACCTGGCTCCAGGAACAGTCAGGTGTCCCAGAACTGTCAGAGTTCTGCTGGCTCCAACCAGCAGAGAAGATGACACAGGGGCATAAGTAGCTGCAAAGCTGGGTGTGGTCTGAGCCCTGAGGGACCCATAGATGCTGGGGAGGCCACCTTAGGCTGGCCTCAGCCAGGAGCAGATTGGCATCATTAACCAACTCTGGCTGTAGCCCTGATGTCTGCATGCTGGCTCAGGTGCTGGTGGGCCACCTCTTCATGCTGTAGTCTCTCCTATGCCCATCTGAGGGGGAATGGAGAACATGACATGAGTTTGTGCTCAGAAGGTGCTGGGCACAGTGCTGGCCTGTGGACACAATCCCATAAATGTAACCATTAATAATAATAATAATAATAATAATAAGGTTGAGGTGGAAGGAGATGGGAGAGGTTATGTATGTCAGGAAAATAGCAAAAAAGAGAAGTAAAGGGGCTTGTGACAGGAATTGAGGATAAAGAGGAGCTTTTCCAGTTGCTTAATAAGATGGACAAAATCTTTAGAAGCATGGTAGGTTGTCCAGCCTAAACTACCAGAGACAGAAGCATCTCCTCAGCTCCAAGCCCACCTCTAATCATTGCAGCCCAGACCGTGGCCCCACAGTCCATGCTCATGTGCCCTGGCACTCACACTGTCTGTCTGTCTGTCTGTCTGTCTGTCTCTCTCTCTCTCTCTCTCTCTCTCTCTCCCTCCCAGATAATCGATACCTGACGCTGCTGGTCTGTATCAGCTTCACGGCCCTGATCCCCTTGTGGGTCCTCATTGTCAAGCAGAACCCGCCCATCATGAGGATCCTGAAGTTCGGGTGGTTCCCAATCATTCTAGCGATGGTCATCAGCAGGTGCGCATGAGTGAGGGCTGCCACCACCCCTTTGCTCTCCATGCCACCCCTGTCTGGCCTCTGCAGACAGGGAGAGTGGCCTGAGGCCACCAAGCCTCCAGGGTGAGGATGTAAATCATGTGGGTTTAAATCATTTTCTGGCTGATCATGGTTGGAGGGAATCATTGCTGTGGGCTCCTTCACTGAGTCCTGGTGCCGGTTGTTGAGTCATACCTCTTTGTTCTTCATCTCTTTCCCTCTCACCAAGAACCTTAGGCCTTATTCTGAGAGGCAGTCCTGTTTACCACTGCAGGAGTATCAGAGCCAGGAAGAACTGAACCTGGAAACATCAGATGAACACACTGATGCCAGGACCTCTTGTCCCCTCGTGGCACTGCAGGACACCTGTCTCCCCCATCCCTGCTGCCAGAGTTCCCCTGTTTAGGCTTCAGGGGGTCCCTCACCTGGCCCTACAGTGATGGCTCTGTGGATACCATTTCCACAGCATGGCTGCTGGTGGGACCTAGTGGGGCTGAGGGATTCGTCCCCCTGGGCCCTTGGGCCTTCAGCTGAGCTCAGGTCTTCCACCCTTGAACCTCACTCTCCAGAGCCCTTTCTGTTAGTAGACCTGGATGTTCACCACCCCAGTGCTTTCTGGGGTGCTTTCCAAACTTTGAATCTTAGGGAGAAGTGGTTATGGTCCAGGTGTCTTTGATTCCAGAAAGCTCCTGGGCTCCTCTTACGAACTGATCCAACTTTGCCAGGACTGTAGGAGCAGGGCAGTCTTTGCTGAACTCCAGGGGCTGGTAGGAGCAAGGTCTTATTGCAGCATCTCTGAGAACAAGGAGCAGAAGTGGATTCTCATGCAGGTTCCATTTACTGCTCAGGAAAGTAGCAGTTCAGTTGTGGTACATGAGCTGTCACATGGGAGAGTCCAGCCAGCTACGTGGCCTCAGAGAGTTTGTAACTTGTTTTTAATTGGCTAACATTATCTGATGGGCCTTCTGGAACAGCTGAGGCTCAGAATAGAGGTGGAGAACCATGTGCGTGGTGGAGAGGACACTGTGGATACCAGCCTGTCTATATCAGATACTTTGTGTAGGGGTCAGGAAAGTGTTTGCTACACTGAGAAAGGAAACTGGTAAGACATTTTGAAAAAAAATTTTTTTTTAAATATTTGTTTATTTTTGCGAGAGCGAGCGAGCCAGCGAGCATGACTGGGGGAGGGGCAGAGAGAGAGAGAAAAAATCCTAAACAGGCTCCGGGCTCTGAGCTGTCAGTATATAGCCCGACGTGGGGCTCGAACTCCAGAATAATGAGATCACGACCTGAGCTGAAGTCAGACTCTCAACCGACTGAGCCACCCAGGTGCCTCTGATAAGACATTTTGTATAGAGGTGTACCAGGTCCCCTACAAGGATAAACTAATCATTTGCCCTCTGCTCTCTCCCCAGTTTTGGAGGGCTCATCTTGAACAAAACCATTTCTAAACAGCAATTCCAAGGCATGGCCATATTTACTCCCATCATATGTGGTAGGTATTGGCAGTCACCATCACCTGGGACCCCTGGGCTGTGTTAGCCCCCAGGGCTTGGGCAGTGGGACCTGAAAAGCAGTGACTTCAGAGCTCCAGCCCCAGGCCCTCAAAGGCAGAATCTGGAAACTGAGCCATGGCTGTGTTTCTGCTGGGCAGGGACTACCGGGCTGGTTTTTCTCATATGGAAGGAGACCCTCAGGGAGAAAGCCCTGACCACTGCTCCACCAGCTCACACTCTTCCTCACAGTCACCACAGAGGCTTGAGCTGTCCCACAGAGCTAAATCTCATGCCTTGAAGGCACATCTAAGCCAGGATTCACTGGCACCTGATCGTGGCCTTCAGAACTGGAGTGTTGGCTTCTCATGGTTTGTTTGTATGTTTGTTTGCTAATTTCTTAAATTTAGATTCATTGATGACATTTAAAACTAAGAATTTTGCACATAAAAATCTGGATTTCTGCCTTCTTCAAAAGCAAGACTGTGACAATACTGAGTTTACATTCTGGGTGAGGAAACAATGAGCTGCCACTCAGGACTTGTGTTTGTCCGGTTTGCCTGAATCCCCTCCATTCCTTGTTGTCTTCCACCCAACCCTTCATTGATCTCCCTTCTAGGCTTAGATGCTATGGGCTCTTTTAACCAAAGCTTGGTTTGTGTCTGGCTTCTGATAAGGATCTGTAAATGGGACTGACCAGTCAGGGAGGGAACCAAACATGATAGCTTTTTGCACACTTTGCTTGGTCCCAGACCCTGGTGTTCTGGGGCTGCAGAAACAGGCTACAGAGGCCTTTGGGCACCCCCTCTCCCCATTTCCATGGGAACACAGGTGACTATTCCTTGAATATCAGTTGGCCACCCAGCACGTCTGTCCCAGTAGAGGCAGGGCTTGCCCATCATACAAGGAGTTGGCCATGTGGAAGACAACAACTGCTAAGGCAGACTAAAGCTTGGAAAGATTTCCTTGGATGTCACCAACTCAGATGACTGTGGGGCAACATGAGAATGTTGAATGAGTTCAGCCAGTATGACAATAGCTGGGCAGTAAGGAGCAGCAGGGAATAGGTCATGCTGCAGAAAGTGTTCCTGGTATGGAGGGAGAGGGGCCTGCTTAGCTCCAGCCAATTGCTGCCTGGCAAGTTTGGAGGTCCAGAGTTGCCAGAACTGACTTGTTAGGAGAAGCCAGCAATTTATGTAAATGCTAACAATTAATTTGAGTTACATTTTTAAATCCACTCTTCCCCACATGATTTTTAAATCATGTGGATTGAGCAAAATAGATCTGCAGCCATCCTCTGCCCACAGACCTTTGCATCCAGGGTTGTTGGTCTCTACCTCTGGAGATCACTGGGGCACATCTGGCCCAATGAGGGGTTATTCCCCAATGGGCTGAGGAAACAGGATGGAGGCAACCTTCCCACTCTCTAAAGAAGATGGTCCTGAACAGGCGCTCTTCTCTGTCAGCCTGTAATCCTGTCCCTGCAAAGACAGCTCAGCATGGCCTTTGTCATCTTGGCATGGTCCATTCTCTGTGGAAGCTGGGAGTCTCAGCCATAAGCCCCAGGCCTGTTGCATATGCTATCCCCTCTTCCCTTGCTGCTGTTGCCCACCTTCTCTTCCATCTCCTTTCCACCTTAGGTGAAAAAATCTTTTCATTTTCTCAGATGTTCCAGTCTGTAATCTGATCCCTGTCACTTCCCACGGCCTTGAGGTCCTTATCAAAATATCTTCCCATAGACCTTTCCATCACTCTCCCTCCCTCCCTCTACTTGACAAATCTGTATTGTAAACCTACTTTGCAGTCACATTTCCTTCACCATAAGAGGTAGCTGTCAAGGTGATACAGTTACTACCCTGGCACTAAACTCACAAGGTCGAGTTTACCCTTGCTTGCAGTTTACCCTTGCTTACCCTTAAAATCTGTTGTAAAGTGGGAGGGAAGGAAAAGAGACCAAGTGCTACATCAATCAAGGGAGGCTTCTGGAGGAAGTAGACTTAAAATAAGGGCCAGAACTGAGAGACTGGCATAAAAAGGGGGAAACCACATTCTTTTTCTCCTCCCAGGTGTTGGTGGCAATCTGGTGGCAATTCAGACCAGCCGGATCTCCACCTACCTGCACATGTGGAGCACACCTGGTGTCCTACCCCTCTGGATGAAACAATACTGGCCTAATCCATGCTCCACTTTCTGCACCTCAGGTGAGTCTGGTATCTTCTGGAAGCCACATGGCCATTTCTTTCAACAAGTAAAATTTACCATTAGTGGAATCTGGTGTCTGTAGCAACAGAGGTCTAAGGCCAGTGCTGACTTCAACAGAGATCATCTTCAAGGTCATGAGTCCTTCTCCCAGAGACCTGATTCCCACCCTTGCCTTTAGTTGATTGATTGATTGATTCATTCATTCATTCATTTAAATATTCAAATATTCAAACATTCAAATATTCATTGAAGGTCTGCCAGGTACTAGATGTCACATTATTGTGATGAGTCAGGGAAAGCTGAGTCTTGTCCCCATGTATATACATGGTCCAGAAAAGCAGATACAGGGAGCCAGTGTGGCTCAGTTGGTTGATCGTCCCAACTTTTTATTTTTGGCTTAGGTCATGACCCCAAGGTCATGGGAAAGTCTCTCTCTCTCTCTCCCCCTCTCTCCCACTCTCCCACTCTCCCTCTCCCCCTCTTCCTCCTCCCTCTGCCCACAGTACTCTCTCCCTCTCTAAAAGCAAAAACAAACAGAAGAGCAGATAAACACACCAAAAATGGAGCTCTTGACTACATATTGTGGTATGGTTTTTAGGGTTTGTTTCTTTGTTTATTTTTTTAAATTTTATATTTATTTTTTAAAACTTACATCCAAATTAGCATATAGTGAAACAATGATTTCAGGAGTAGATTCCTTAATGCCCCTTATGCATTTAGCCCATCCCCCCTCCCACAACCCCTCGATCAACCCTCAGTTTGTTCTCCATATTTATGAGTCTCTTCTGTTTTGTCCCCCTCCCTGTTTTTTATTATTTTTGTTTCCCTTCCCTTATGTTCATCTGTTTTGTCACTTGAAGTCCTCATATGAGTGAAGTCATATGATTTTTGTCTTTCTCTGACTAATTTCACTTAGAATAATACCCTCCAGTTCTATCCACGTAGTGGAATGGCAAGATTTCATTCTTTGTGATTGCTGAATAATACTCCATTGTATATATATGCCACATTTTCTTTATCCATTCATCCATCAATAGGACATTTGGGCTCTTTCCATACTTTGGCTATTGATGATAGTGCTGCTATCAACATGGGGTGCATGTATCCCTTCGAAACAGCACACCTATATCCCTTGGATAAATGCCTAGTAGTGCAATTGCTGGGTCTTAGCATAGTTCTATTTTTAGTTTTTTGAGGAACCTCCATACTATTTCCTAGAGTGGCTGCAAAGCTTGCATTGCCACCAACAATGCAAAAGAGACCCTCTTTCTCCACATCCTTGCCAACATCTGTTGTGGCCTGAGTTGTTAATGTTAGCCATTCTGACAGGTGTCAGGTGGTATCTCATTGTGGTTTTGATTTGGATTTCCCTAATGATGAGTGGTGT